TATCGACCAGTTAAGTTAATCCTTAGTAGATCATTCTCGTTATATTAACCAAATCGAATTTATAAAAAGGCAGATAAATAGGTTTAAATTTTACTCGCCCTATAAACATATGCTTGTAAATAATAAATGCTTAACAAATTAAATATCTGATTATACTTAAGTAATTTTTTTTATTATCAAAGGATTTTACTTAAATTTTAAACTAATTGAAGGGGTGAGTGAATAAAGGTGTTAACTAACGTTTTTTGTAAAATAGTTGTAAACATAGTTTGAATAAATGAAAGTGTTAGGATATACGAGTAATACACAATGTAGCGAAATATTATAACAATTCAATGTGTGTTGAGCTTAAAAATTAAAAAAGTTCCAAACATATTTGAATATATATTGACTAAAATGTTTCCTCCTGAACTTTTTTGAAATTGTCAGTTAACACCTTTATTCCCTCAGTCCTCACCCCTTCAATTATTAAAAAAAAAAAATGTTGGACCAAGTCACATACCCTACGTTTTCTCGAGTCTCGTTTATGATCGAATCATTTAAGTAATAACATATTTAATCATGTTTACACGAAATGTTTAATGAACGAAACTTTTATATTAACACTATAGATAATCACAGTTTTTCATCAAATGTTTTTATGGAAGTAGTTACTAGTTTATCACTTAACGATTCCTCACCTACATACAACCATTAAACTTGTTTTTCTTGTATTAATTATCCGTATTTTATGTACTTGCCATTTATTTGCTAATTGCTGGTATACAATTTATATACATACATTTATTATACATTTTATGCTATGTACCTAATTTGCAAATACTACTAATTATGCTTTTTATTAAAATCATCATATATTAGGTATTAGGTGTATGTCATTACGCATGTAGGGTCACATAATACTATAACGAAGTCCATTAGAAATTTTCAACTTTAGAGGTTCATTGCGACACTTAGGCAATCCCTAACTGTTCTACCTATATCTTTAAGAAAAGTCACTGGGAAAAACCGTTCCGGTCCGGTTGTAGCCGTTTAAGTTTTTATGACGCCGTAACAGTATTGATCGCCTAAGAAGATGACGTCCAGAGTTAATCTGATTTTCGCAATATTTCCACAGGGCTCCTGACAAATCGTCTAACCGTGACTGCAGAATTTATATTTTCCACATACATCTTGTTTAAATCCAAAATAACCGAAACCGTCGTTGCGTGGCGAGTACAACACAATTGCATCTTTCGCCAGTACAGTTACAATGCCAAAGTCCAAGTCAACTAAAACGGACTTGGCGCAGGCGGTATTCGTCGTCGTAGCATGACGGCTCAACAATGAACAAAAATATCCACTTTTACTGCATACATACAAACAGCTAATACATACTATGGGCGCTTAAAGTTAAAACGTTATAAGCTCGAATAACTCGATGTCGCAAAAAAAAAAAATAATAACATCATACGCCACTCAAAAATTAATTTAGTTATCGTACTTACAGGTTTGTTATAGATGCTATGTTTAAATCAGCTTTCGGTCTAGTAGCTACATCAGCTCTCAAGTTATAGAAAATCAGTAAACATAAAAATAACGAAGAACGTTGCACCTAATGCTACTATATTTCTAATTTTTTCTGAAGTTATGTCCATGATTGTATAGTTATTAGGACTGAAAACAAAAATTAATTTTTTTCACAAGAATCGTTCTTTTGGCTTAGGCTTTTTTTGCCATGCACCACAGACGTTTTTCATACGCATATAAATGAAGAATAGTACTTTTAAAATCGCAAGAATGGTTCTTGAACAATCATTACCTATTGCGTAAAAGTTAAGACGTTCAAAGTTTGCAGACCAATACTGGCTAGTAAACTATAATTCAATATAATTTTTTAAACTTTAATGCACTATGGTTTATCACATTCCACTAAAAAAAACGTCAAGCCTTAACTGTAATCAAATATTTTTTACTCGACTATAGATTTTCCAGGGGCAAACATTATTTTGATCAAGTATATTATTCTAATAGCAACGTCCGTATTTATTATTACATATTTAAAGAAGGTACTCGCGGGACAAAATAAAATAGACTAAGGTAAATTCAAATGGAATCTACAGTGTAAATATTATATTCACTTGTATTTCCCAGAGAAATTGAAATAATATGTCAACCTAAAAGCTAAAATATCAAGTCCGCTGAAAAATGTATAAATATTTTTTTTAATGTTACTTACCTAATCTTATTTGTTATAAGCTGCAATTCCCGAGTCACTTTTTATAATTAGTATACATATATTTAAATGTAGAATAAACTCATTTTTATGTGACTATATTAATTAATAATTATTTTTCTATTAATGAAATTAACTATTTTTTGTTTTCATAAAGATGATATAATTTGAAAACTAAACAAATTTAACAAAATTTAGCTGCCTGAGATGATGAAATTGACTATCTTATTGTACTTGCTTAAAATATGGAACAATGAATTTCAGATTATCCGTGAAAAAAAACAATAGGCAACCAAATAGACATGTTTATTATTAGATATTTTGAATGATCGACAACGAATAGGTTTTGGCGAGTTTTACTCTAATAAAGACAAATTAAATCATCGAAGTGGATGAATTGACTAGAAAACGGTCTCCTCATAATTTTTTTTTTTTAATCTAAATACCAGTAGGTACTAAAGATAACCAACCATTACATTTTTACTACTACACATTACTAGAGAGTAGGGTGTCCTTTTGATTAAATAGTATCTAAACTTGCTGAAACGGTTCTTGACCTCATTTTCAAGCAAATCTGTATAGTAGATATATTAAGCATTTTGATCTGAAAGAAGAATAGTGAGCTAAGAAGTTGGATACTGAAAATAAGTATATTATATTTAATAAGTAAAATCAATAATAAACTCCATACATGCACAATCAAATTTGCTTAGAGAAATAAATACAAAATATATACGACAAAATTTTGTTAACTATGAAAAAATAAGTTAACTCATTCAAAAACCTTCCAGAACTGCAGAATTAAAAAGCATTAGCTGCAAAATAAAGACTTTAGCGTTAAAGTACGGTTTTTGCTATTGAAGCTTATTATGATTTCACATGCTTTTATTTATGTATTAATGTCAATTTTTTTTTCGCAAAAACAGAATATTTCAATGCTTCAAAATTAAATTTTCAAACTCGTTCATCAACGCAGTAGGTGTCCAACGATCATTAATAATTCATACTGTTCCAGTTTAATAAATCATAATACCTATATTTACATCATCCGCTACTTACCATTTTACCGAAAAATGCTCTACGTCCAATCGCACAAAAGCGCGACGCAATTGTGTACAAGTTGTAGAAAATTACACATTCTTAATCATCTGAAGTTTATTGCAGTTATCTGCAATCTTATTGCCTGTATAACCGGATAACTTGGGACATTATGCGAAATTTAGGGCATACGGGTAAAATAATATATTTTAGAATATATATTATGTTACCTATATGCCCTAAATTACCCGGTTTTACGGTAATGTATTAAGCTATATTCTTATCGATTTTCAATTATTAAGTAGCGGTTGTTTTAAGTTCAGTTAAATTATAACTTAACTGAACCCTCGGTAATGCATTATAGCAAAATTGCATGGAATAGCTGAGCACTCTCGCAATAGGCAATATTGTTTGCATTTCTTCAAGTTGTATGAAGAGGATAGACTTAATAATATCGTCGGTGTTTATGTAGACATTTTAGCTTGTTTTTTTTTTCAGCGAAATTGCGCCTATGTACAACGATGTTTTATTATTCATGTTATCTTTGCTATTTCAACGTACACAGTAGCCTATCCGAAATTCAAAAGAACCGTCTCTGTTGGACATAAACCAAATTATAGATTCGATAGGTTTAAGCGCGCCAAACGCTTTGAGTTCGTATTAAAATTACATAATCGTATAAATCTTCCATTTTGAAAACGGGGTAACTCCTAGACTTCGACAAAACTTAAAAGAATTATTGTTATGGGAAAGCACGCTACAAATGCCTGTCCAAACAGCTCACAACTGGGCGGGTGCCAAGTAATGTTATAAGGCTATTGAGAGTCCCTGAATAAATAAAAAAAAAATTACATACATACATACATAAATTTGTATACATCGGTTTCCGGGTAGGTTGTACATCTTGGCAATGGCCAATACCCTTTTTAATGTACCTAGTTTATTGATGAAATGTATGTTAGGTACTGAATCCCAACTCGTATAGTTTTAACAGTGAATCGTTTGCTTTGGCTATTGGCCCAATAAATAACTAATAATACAATAATTATTCAAAATAAAAAAAATTTCACAGGTTATAATTTAAAAAAAACCACAAGATATTCGTAGATTTCACTGGATTTAAAAAAATATACATATATTATTTATGTATTCCATAAATTTTTTATGACAAAATAGTTATTATGTTTCGAAATACCTTTAAGTTTTCACTTGATATAAATTAACTCTTAACTTGATAAGGGTGAATTAAAAAACAGTTTAAAATAACAAAAATAATGACACTTTTAGGTTGGTCATAAATTACACTTAAACGGTTTGTATCTTTAAATATATAATGCCGAGTTAAGAATATACTTTTATAGCCAACTAATAAATCTGTAGAATATATATTAATGACAATTATTAAATAAAAATATTAAGTATTCAACCAAAACTTGTTTTCTTATTTCTCATGAGTAAAATTCTAATATGGTATTTTACAAATACTTTATTTTAATTTGTCTAATGAAAACTCCAACAGATAAACTTTAAATTTGGAGATTTCTACTTTTGGTTGTTTAAGGTAATTTACATTTGAAGTATATTTAAATTTCATAGTAACAAAGTTAAAATAAAATAGTATGTATTTGGCTTTGAATAAAAAGTCTACAAGAAGACATATACTGTCATTTATTATTATACTTAAATTGGTACTCAAAAGCTTTAAAGCTATTAATATGTTTAAAGGTAGAATTGTTTAACAGCTTGGTTAATGAAAATGTTACGTTTAATTGTGAAACATGTAAACAAAAATCATTTGAATTATAATAGTCTTTATTGGATAGCATTATATTCAACAAATAAATGTAAGTTCGGCCAAAATTAAGTAATATAAAATTTGGAAGTAAATTTACAAAATTTTGTTTGAATTATAATAAAATGCATTATACTTTATTGTCAATATTACTATTATACCTTTCAAAATATACTATTAATTCACAATGTGGTGTTTGAGGAAACATATCGACTGGGATAGCTTTTACAGGTACAAATGGTGCTCCTTGTTTAGTTTTAGACTCAGCCATAGCTAACGTCAAAAAATTTTGCAGTGCAGCCTTTGGATTGCAAGACAAGTACACAAATCGTTTCAAATGCTTCATTCTTCTTAACAATAACACGGCTTTATTATCTAAAAAAAAAAAATTGTAATATTAACAAAAGAAAAAATTGTTCTATATAAATATATTATAATGAAATCTTACGTAATCCCGCTCTGGGCGGATCAACAACAGCTACTACATCATCGGCATTTTCTGGATTTTGAAATTCGTGTCTATTCATTATTTCCTCAGCTTTTCCACAAAAGAACTGAGCGTTTGTAATTCCATTTTCTGTGGCATTGAACTTTGCCATATTAACAGCTTCTTCCTGGATTTCTACACCAACAACATTAGCACAATCCTACAATAATGAAATTAAGGCAAAAAAATTAAGCGAGAACGGAAAATTACAAAAATCTTCAATAGTACCTTTGCAAGAGATAAACCAATTGTGCCAGTTCCACAACACACATCCAAAACAGTAGTTTGTGAACTAATTGACGCCAATTCTTTTGCAGAGTTCAATAATATTTCAGCAGCAGCAGTATTGACTTGAAAAAACGATTCAGGCGAAATTCTGAATTTAAGGCCTTTCATTTCTTCGACAATATATCCTTGGCCGTGTAATAGTTCTAGCGGAAACGAGTTCCCTTCGCCAGCACTATAAATGTGTAATTAAGTTTTTGCTTATAAATATTAATATAATTTTCAATATTAATATTGATGAGCCCTCACATTCTTTTCTTAGCTTTTTGAAAAAATAAAGAATCTACTTTACATTCTTTTCCTTCCCCATGAGTGTAATAATCTACAATTGATTTTTTCAAAGACTCGATAGCCGTCTCTTCCATAGTTTCCGTATGAACTACACATATCAACATCAATTGTTCAGTTTTTAAACTTAAACGTACTGTTAATTGACGCCAATGACCGGCATACGTTTCTGGATTAAATACCGGAATTCCAGAATCGCGTACAAAATTTTGGAAATACTAAGGAAAAAAAAGTTTAGATTATATTAATTATCTAAAAAAAACACAGTACATTTTTATGTTTCCATGTGATAACCTATCAGATATATATTATAATATCAAACACATTGAAGCACAATATACCTTTAGAATTTTTTATGGAGTATAAATATATTATAAGTTTCAACCAACTTCAAAATTTTTTTTTTTTATTATTGGATTTTAAACAATTACGATATAGGTTATGCGTTTTTTTTTTTTGTTATGGAAATCTTTGAATTATGAGATAGTTTTACAATTATTATCATTCTGATTCCAAAAGCATATTTAGAACGAGTAAATAAGAACTTTTTGTAATAAATTCCAGCTCTTAGAACTCAAGAACAAACTCTCGTTAAGTTATGATTATTTACTTTAACCGCGGTCTTCATACGCTGAGGGACATTTGAAACGTTTTCTATAGGTGCTACACACGTTTTCCCTTGAACATATGTACCAATACGAAAACCAACTACCGGCTCTTTATTTTCCATATCCATTCCTAAGAACAAAAAAGCAAAACTTAATTATTCCTTATTAAAGATATTTAGAGTGAAAACATTAAAAAAAAATCTCTGGCATTTAGGTAGAAAGGCATAAGTCTTAATACTCCAATATCTTAACGCCTCTCAGCGTTCTCCAGCCGTCAGTTGTGATGCACTAAATCGGTATGTTCTCTTTTGAAATGCAGTATAGTATACTAATTTTATTTACCAATTGTGAATTCACATTTATTTCTATATCCAGTACATTTATCAGCATCTTCTTTAAGGCTTTGTATTTCTAACATTTCACACGGAAGACCGTTGTTAATTTCTTTCTTCTCCTTTAACCAACTCAATAAGTCTTTATTGGTTTTAGGTAATCGTTTAGTATATTCCAAAAGAATATTTCTTATACTGTTTGTTTTCTGTATTAACTATAGTAAAAAATTACATTATTATTCTGATTAAAACAAAAATCATAATTTTTATTTTTATTTTAGTATTATTTAAAAAGACAATTTAAGAATACAAATTTTCTTACTTGCTCGTCATAGGATAAATTATGTAATGGAGTGACATTATTTATCATTTGTTGTTCCGCTTCATCATTACTTAACTTTGGCTTTTTTGGGTCTGGTCCATCATCTCCAAATTGTTCATTACGTTTTTTAACTAAAGGATCGGGAACAGCTTGGGCCACCTACAAGTTATATTTCTTTAAATATAGTAATAAGACATTTTTACAGAAAAAAAGAACCAAATTCCTTACACTAGCTTGTAGGACTGCATTCTTCCATTTGTATCCATTTAAAATGTCTAAAGCAGCAGATCTTTCCTCTTCAGAGTGAAAACATACATACAACCATTTTCCATTGCGCGTTGGAGTCTTCACTTTGGCACTATTTAATTTTAACTGTTGATTGATTAATTTCTTAAATTCCTACAAATACAAATACTGTTATGTATATGAATTTTGAATTAGGTATGTAGAACTTAAAAACTAAACTTTACAGCTTTACTTACAACAAGTCCGTAATATTTTGGAAGATTTCGCACTTCCAATTTAAACTTTTCAGATGTAAAATCATTTCTATCTAAATAAGCAAAAGGATTACTTTCCACTTTTTCGGTACATTCTGTTTTGTCGTCAGTAATATTTTCTAAATCGTTTAATTCAGTTTCGGTTTTCATTTTAGAAAAATAATATTTAACTTTACAACCCAATAGACTACACTGAAATAATTGTACTTGTATAAAAAAAATTAAGTTTTAAAATACAAGCATTACAAATTTAATTCTATATTATAATGAGCTGTTATGAAACCACATGCTCTGTGCTTAATAAATGTTTATTGTGTATAGTCAATCTATCAATTTTTAAATTCTAGTGATAAATGATAACTGATTAAACTCTTATCAAGGTTTGCTTGTTAACCTTATCAGGTAAAATATAAAATGATAACGTTTCACGTGCTTATGACTGTAAATACTGTTTAATAAACACTTTATTGTATTTAATTTGCGAAATATTTATGTATTGACTGTTGTTCATTAACCTTTTAACAGTTCTAAATATTATATCTACCAAGTCATTTTTGCATATTTTATTGAACAAATCTTCAAGATGCCGCAAGGAAAATTTAAAAATAAATCGCAGGTTTCTTTTGTGAAGAAGAAAAAGCCAGAAAAGAAAAGCAGGAAAGGTTAGTTAATTTGATATACATACGTTGTTGGTTTGTTAGATTTTGTTTATTACTTTCACTAAAAATGAATTCAACAAACAATGGTCAGTATAAAAAAAGTTTTACTCAAGGAATGTGTAAAAAATTATTTCAAATTAAATTTGCAATTGTAACAATATAATTCTACTAATATTATTATCTTTAAATTGTAATCACTTAGGTTGTATCTTTTTTTTGAACAAATTAACTTCACGACCATTCTTTTATTTTTATTCAATAGTATTTTTCAGTCCGATTATGAAGAGGTGCACTAAAATAAAATGACACTCCTAATTAATTTTAAAGTAACAGCCATTTAAAGTTCGCACATACTTTAAGTAAACAGTCTAATAAGAGTACAGCGCCATTGCTTTGCTTCATAAAGCAAAACATTTCTTTGACTTGCACGATACAATCTAAGGATAATGTCAACAGTTTGGTGAATACTGAATAATTTCTAAGTATTGAGCAAGACAAAATTTAACGTTCCGCCACAGATAAAACTAATATGCATCCTATTATGCTTAAAATTGCTATTACTTCAATTTTTATTGCAAACAGCTTTTCATTTTTTTCTAATTAGAATAATAAAAACTATTAATGAAAAAAAGGGATGAATAGTAAATTAGAGGTTTGAGTTTTACCCAATAGTTGCTATGTATTTCTTTTGTAAGTACTTTTAACCATTTAATTAAATGTTTTACAGTTTTAACTTTTAAGATTAATACAAATGTTTTTTTCATGCCTTAGCTTGTCCAATGCCATCTACAAAACACAAGTATGATGAAGGTCAACGAATTAAACGTATGGTTAGTAAAAATGTAAACAAGTTGGCTGAAGACGAACTTAGAGCATTAGCGACCGATAGTAAAAAGGTATTTTTGTCAAAGAAAAAGAAACAAGTTGGTCAAACTGTTCAAGCTGCTCCTAGTAAGCCTAAAGAAATTAAAATTACACAAAAATAAGTTTAAATCATTTTTGTTTTGGTATTGTTAAGATAAGTTATTATTGAAATTTATATTATTAAAAAAATGATGTGTATTCAGAATTTGTATTAATTAGAAGTTACAAAATCTTTTTCACTTATCTCCTACTTAAAATATTTTATTTAAAGTTACTTTTATAAACAAAAATGTCAGTTTTAAAACCATAATTACGTCCTGTTCTAACATGGGCTCCTTGGCTGGCTCCTCATATATTAACTGGTCAAAGATTACATATATGCTTGGTTACTAGAGCATCCCTAGTTGACCAAATGATGAGTACTTTGTGTAATTATGAACATCTTCAGACACCAACAAAAAATATCGTAGCTACTGATGAAATTAAACTATATTACCATGCATCAAATTCCAAAACATTTGTTTAGGTTAAAGTTTATTATTATTCCTCCAGGCGCCAAATAAAATTTGTTGCAAATGTGTTCGAATCTTTGATTTATATATTTTTACTTTGCCTTGTGTTAGTAAAATATTCTTATATTAAATGGTTTATGCTAAAATAAAAATCATTATGGTAATTAAGAATATTAGTATGAAGGTAAATTGAATATTAAAATTTTTAAACATAAAAACAAGTCAACACTCAATACTAAAAGAAATATTTCACTATAATAATGTCTGAATACAAGTATTTTTAAAACTAACTAGAGATTTTTAAATGCAACTTTGTAGGTACTGTCTATGTAGTGGCCATTCCAGTTCTAACTACCTTAAATTTTTCCTTAACTGACATTTTATCTTGTTATATTCTCTTCAAAATAAATATACTTCAGTGGTACAGTGATGGTCTTACAAATATACAAATTTTAAATTATATGTACTAGTAATTTTATCAAACAAAAATAATGTAAAATGTATATTGTATAACTATCCACTGACAATTAGGTTTTTATTTTTGTCCTTCATAATAATAGGTGTGGCTGATTTATTTTCTTTCAGTTCTATGACACCACTTTTTGACCCTTTAATAGTATGTGTTAACCTATAACAAACAATTTGGTATAGATTACAAGGTAAAAGGTTATTAATAATAACAAAACTTAATTTATTTTAGTCACTAGCCACTGCCCAATATGTTTTACATTTAATATAATTACAAATTTTCAAAATACATAAATTTTATCGTCTTTCCCCGAAGCATCCGATATAGACTCATATTCATAGATCTTTTCTCCACAGTTTCCTAAAAGCAAAAATGTCTCTTTTCTTTCAATAATTTCACTCATAATACAATGGACAAATAACCTCAAAAATAAATAAATAACCAAATTGATAAATTAATTGATTGACCACAACTTCTCACAGTTCTCGTATGAGTAACCAACAACTAATATAGTGATAAATAGCGACAGTAAATGACGGTATTACAAATTTATATTTTTAGCACAACTCGGTGATTGGTCATTCACCCTATCGTTGTTATTAAAACATATTATCTTAGCACCTCATCAAGCCCGTACTGTATAGCCGATATCAGATGCTTTGGCCACCAACGATCAAATTATTTAAAAATGATATAATATATTTGTAAAAAAATCTGGTAGGTTAGGTTTTACTTTATGCCTCGCTGAATGCTGGCAAGTGGCAATCATAATGCCTATAAAGTATATTAATTATAAAATTATGTTTTTATTTTATTATAATATTTTTTTCTGATCTAGTGTAGTAAAAATGTATTATGTAAGTATATTCAATTTCTTCGCAATTAAATGAGGAATAAGTTAATAATATTTTTCAACCCTTAAAAAAATATTTTAGGGTACATTTTAAGGGTTAGTTTATCAATGTTTTCATTAATTTTACTTTCTAAGGCCAAAATTAAATTAACAATAGTTTTTTATGTAAAACAAAAAATACTAGTTTATTCCTCTTTTTTATATTGATGATTTGTTATAAAACGAGAGATTAGCCATAGTTTATGGGGGTTTCCCGATTTTGAGGGAGGAATTGAACTTTTGACACCTTGCTGTACTTTTGAAGTAATATTTCTAAACGATTGATGCGCTACTCAAGTAAATCGATCCTACGATTCCTGGAAGACAGACAAAATAAATTATTAAAATAACTCATCATTATAATATCAATAGGTACCTTCTGACCTTTGAAGCTACAATGTGTCATTTGTCAACAATCACCCTAATAAATCCTTAATACTCAAACTAATAAACTATCACGCTCGTCGTCAATTTGTTTTTAAAAGCACTGACAATCCCTCTTCTAGTATAAAAAATTTAAATAATAGTTAAAATGCTCACACTAGTGTAAAAATTAAAAATTACGAATTTCATCAAGTACCTATCCATTGGGCACTGGCTGCTACTCTTGAAACTAACTTAAACTTACTTTTGACCAATATCAATTCTGTTGATATTCAACAGAGTACATTTTTTTGAAATGTTGATGAACTTCGTAATAAACTCTATTAGGTAAGGAATCTCTAAAATTAAATCACCCTGAAAGTAATAACATTCGTTCATATCAATTAACTTATTATGCTGTTTTCACATATTTCGAAGGAAAATAGGTAAGTACTTTAGTTTGTTTGTATTGTGAGGATATTTTAATCAGCAAAAAGTTATCTTTTCCCGAAGTGACTTCAAACTTGTTCACGTAAATCAGTGGTATCTTGTCGACAGTTTTTAACTTATTTTTCACTACTTGATTCAAATAGAGCGTCTTAGTTGTTAATATTAATAGCCTGGATCTTTTTTTATATCCTTTTCGATCGAATTTAACTACCCTGGAACCGTACTAAAAGGAATTAAAATACTATTAAATGTTTACAAATTAATCAATTATCATAGTGACGTCTTACAACATATTTTTCTTTAGGTACTGTATGCATGAATGTCGCCCTTAAGCTTTTCTCTGTAATATTCAACCGTTCGCCTTGAAACGAAAAGTGTGAACTGCATTGACCATAATTCCATTTTTTGTCTGTAAAATATTCATCGCGTACAAAAATAATTTATGGCTATTCTCAGCAGTTTGACTTAACACTTAAGTGTAGCTTAACCTATAATAATTTTTGTACTGTCAAACTCAACTTAATTTTTAAGCTAAACAGCTGGTAAGAACGACTATTAGTGATTTTTCTAACAGTTAGTTGTGCTGAAATACCTTTGAAAAGGGTTTCAGCTAGTATTTTCAATTCGAGCTGTTTTCTATGTCGAGAATCCATTGCCATTTTGTATTTTTTCTGTAACCATATCTTATGCCATTTTCTGAACTTTTTAGTTGCCTGCAATAAACCATAATTGTACTGTCAACAAAATATTTGTCATCTTAAAACGCTGTTTTTAAATATTTTTTAAAATAATGTTTGTACTTAAGTTACACAAACGCTTGGATTAAATTTCAAATGTCGTTTAGGCTCATGGCGCCGGGCGGCCATTGGACATTATAATATGGTAACATAAAGATTATGCCTTGGTGAAGATTTTAATGAGTTTTTTTCACAAAGCAGAAAAAACTAAATAATTATATTTCCGCAAACTGATTGTAAATAAAAACGGTACTCAAGCTTTTTTTTCAAACTATTAATTTTAAATCGTTATTTAAACTTTTTTTTTCTTATATCAAGTTACTTATTATAAAAAATATGTATACGTTCATATTTATGAAAAATCCAGTTTATAATTACATATATATTTATTTATTTATTATGCACATACATATTTATTTATTATGTATGCTTCTTATTTACAGGCTGTCAGTGTCCTGACTCCTGATGTTAATGCGTCTATGCTCGCTGTTTTATTGCATATTATTGAATTTTGATATCATTAATCAATAATTATTATGGGTGTTAAATATGATGTTAAAATTTAGATATTATTAAGAGGAAAAAAAATTAATTGAGTTAAAAATTTGTCATGATTATCAATGAACTAGCGACTACTAGGGTGTTAAAATTGTTATTTATTAGGTTTATGAAGATTCCAATGTAAAATTAGGTAGGTGAATAACTAGATATAGACCATTATTAGGGTATTACTGGTTAGTATTTATAAGTCGTGCTGCCAACTAATGTTGGACCAAACCAAATTTTGTATACTTCATATATACCTACATGGTTCAATATTTGTTTAGGCCATCCCCTGTGTGATACGATCCTCGGTAACGTCTGTGTTAAGTTTCTTACAACCAGTCTCCGCGTGTTCACGATAAATGCGGTTCGTTTACATGTGATATTATTTTTCTTCATCTTGTATTACTTAATCGGAAACATATTGTTTAAGTTAGTAAAAAATTTGATCTTTTTAGGATTTTTAATAACAATATTAGGTATAGTATATTTATGTGTACCTAAGTTGAAGTTTATAACATACACCAAGTGACAAGTATAACACTATTGATATTAGATTGATCACTAAAGCAGTCTCTGGTGGAGACCGCATCGTGTTTAAAAGTATTAATTTGTCCTCTTCAACTAATTTGACCTCAAAGTCGCGCATTGCTATGTTGTACGCGATGAAAAATATCAATCAAATTGTATGCCGCACTACAATGAAATACACGACTACATTGTGTTAAATTGGCTCGACTTGATCTGTGGCTATTATTATTTAGCGACGTTTGTTGTATACAATGCGTCAATCAAACCGCTGGAGCCACAGACATATTATCATTTCAAGTTCTCGAATGTATATTTAAAAAAAAAAGTAAACATTTTGTAAAATATTTTAAACCGATCATGGCAACTATAAATATTTCTTTCATATTTTGGGATAGTAGTATACATATATATATTATACAATAGTAATTATTCGTCCGTATTAAATAATATATATATATATATATATATGCTGTTTATTACTTATATTTCTTCGGGACCTCGGAGAGTTGGAGGTAAAGACTGTAGGGAAAGAGGTCCTACTTGTAATTTGTTTCCACGCTCTACTAATTATAGGCTTATACAGCCAGAATAAATACTATACTAGACAGCACCTTTTTAGTATTGCGACTATTATTCTGATGACAAATTTAATATTTAGAACTATACACAGGTATAGCACGATATAATAAATGAGTTCAGAGTCTTAGTCCTTTAGAAACGGAGTTGGAACACGAATTTAGAGATATCTTAATCCGTTATGTACTTAGCAAGCTGCAAGTATGAGCTAATATAAATGTTAATAGTTAATACATATTATATAGGTAGTGAAATATCATAAGTAATAAAGGATATGAAAATATATAGGTACCAAAATTAGGTATAGTCAATTGTCGGTACATACTACATTGTGCACATGGTAAAAATACACAGCTGAGAATCAATATAGAGATAACAGTAAAACACTGTGATAACAGAATACGGTTGACACGTGTCTGCACTCTGCTCTCTTGATACAATAATTTACTCATATTAGATTCAGTTATTTGTTGGTGAAAGGGGATTCACAAATTTACAGAACCGATTTTTAAGTAATTAATGTTCCTAGTATTTATGTACAAGATTCGTCGTTTTACACATAAATTACATTCCCCATAATGGGTTTTAAATTTGTTGGTGATAGTTATTGTCGATGAACCCTCCCCATAAATAAAAAGAAAGACATACTGCTATATTAAAAACGTATTGGTCATGAATTACGATTTCACTTGTTCCTGATTTACGTAACACCATAATATTATAATGTGTGTGGTATGCATTGTGAAGGGTTTTGTAAATGTTGTAAATACCTATACTTAGGTGATTGGATATTTTCACAATAGGTAGCGAATTCGATATTTACAATACTGTCGTCTGTTTTGTGTTTACAGATAAGAGTTAAGTGTCTAGTTTGAAAAATAATTTTAAAACAATAATAATTATTGTTTTATTCTGCCACAGAAAATGTCGTGGATCAAAAGTATTTTTAATGAAAGCAACTTCATATCGTATCCAAACCCAGGAAGTATTGTTTTTCAATATGGAACTTCGGGTATACGATGCAAGTGAGTGTTGTATATAATTATTTCTAGTTATTATTAACATTTTTTTTTAAAAAAATATATATATATTAAACTGTTATTAGAGCCGATTATCTTGACCATGTCATGCATCGAATGGGTATGCTAGTGGCGTTGCGATCCATGTGTTTGAAGTCTGCTAGAGTCGGTCTAATGATTACGGCTTCACACAATGCGCATGAAGATAACGGAGTCAAACTTATTGATCCACAAGGAGAAATGCTTGAGAGTTCTTGGGAAGTATTGGCTACCGAGTTATCCAACGCTATAGATGATCAACACGTATCTACTGTACTTACGAGTTTAGTTTCCAAGTACAATATTGATTCCAGTTATATACCCAAAGTGTATGTTGGGCGAGATACTAGGTAAGATTAATGTAAGCTTCTGCGATGAAACTGTTTTACTAAATTTTCGTTCATTATATATTTTAGATATTCTGGAAAAAAGTTATTAGATGCAGTGATTGTTGGTATGAAACAATTTAATAGTGACTTTGAAGATTTTGGTGTGATAACAACACCGATGTTACACTTTTTTGTTAGATGTTATAATACAAATTGCTTGTACGGTCAACCAAACGAACAATCGTATTTCAACAAACTGACTACTGCTTTCAAAGATATGAGAAATATGGCAAGTACCTATTAATTAAGAAGATATTTTCAATTAATACTTAACAGTTTTTTTTTTATAGTGCACTGATTATAAAAATTACAATACAGTAATAGAATTTGATGGTGCTAACGGTGTGGGTGCTTTAAAAATGAAAGATGCTCTAAGTTATCTTGATAATACGTTGATAATCAATATGCATAATGATGAAGTATCCAGTTCAGAAAAATTAAATTCTAAAGTACGATATCATAAGATTATAAGCATTATCGCTAAGTCTTGTTATTAAGTAATATGTAATTTAAACCATAAACTGTTCTAGTGTGGTGCGGATTTTGTCAAGTCCAATCAATGTCCTCCGACTGGTTTATCTATCAAACCTAATGCAAAGTATATATCTGTTGATGGGGATGCAGATAGAATCATTTATTTCTTTGTCGACGAAAGTAACAAGTTTTATTTATTAGATGGTGATCGCATAGCTACATTAGGTAAATTGCTATACAATTTAAAATTAATTGATAAGCTAAATATTTAAATACTTTTCATTAATAGTGGCTGGGTATGTGAAAGAACAAATCATAGCTTCGGGTCTTGACGTAAACATTGGATTAGTACAAACAGCCTACTCAAATGGAAATTCTACAAACTTTGTGTCAAATACATTGGTATGATTTTTTTTTTTTGTTAACGTTTTGTATAGTAAAGTAATAAAATATTATAAAATATTTTTCATAGTACACTTTCAGTAGTATCATTATCAGCGCTCACAACAGACTGAGTCTGTTAGTTTTGTAGAGTTATTTTTAAGGCTCATTTTACAACCATATTTTCACTCGTTTTATCTGTCCAACATTTTCAGAAAGTTCCAGTGGCTTGTGTTCCTACCGGTGTAAAGCATCTACACCACAAAGCACAAGATTACGATATTGGCGTTTATTTTGAAGCTAACGGTCATGGTACATTAATCTTCAAAGAATCAATAAGAAATCTAATTAGGAAAGAAGCGTCTAAACAAAAAGATGAGTATGTTTTTTGTAGTTTTTTAAATTTTTATATTATATTAATTTTTATTATTAAATATGTCGTTAGGTCGAAACTAATAGCTCTCAAAAAATTGATTTGTATAATGGATATGACAAATGAAACTGTTGGCGATGCTTATTCAGATATGCTGATTGTTGAAACTGTCCTTTGTGAACGAGGATGGAGTCTCAATGATTGGTACAATACATATGCAGATTTACCTAATCGTTTGATGAAAGTCACTGTTAAAGTAAATAATTTGAAGTTTTATAAAACAAAATGTCGTTTATGTAAACTGATTATACTGTAGGTTTCACTAGTCTATATATATTTATTATTTATCATAAAAAACGTTTTTAGGACAGGAATACATTTTCTACAGGCGATGCCGAACGCATTTGCATAAGGCCACTAGGACTTCAAGATAAGATCAATTCTATCGTCGCTAATTATCCAATGGCTAGATCATTTGTGAGGTAATTAAAATCGGTTTTAATGATCAAGCATTGTCGTTGTAAAAAAAATATATGATTTTAAGATATTTTATTTTATTAATTATATTTTTATAACACAACTTACTCGTATAATGAAATAAAAACAAATGTACTTTTAAGTTATTATTAAAACTTTAAGATTTAATAAAAACGTTTACATAACTTACCACACTTGTATTGTAAACATTCCATGATTGATATATTGTCATGAATGTAATGTGTTATTCAAAATGCTTTAAATTTTAAGCAATTACAATTTGTTTCTAATTATAGACCATCTGGCACAGAAGATGTTGTCAGAGTTTACGCTGAGGCAGATACACAGGTTCATGCAGATAAACTTGCCGTAGAGGTTGCTGCTGTCATCTACGATATGGCTGACGGTGTAGGAAAAAGACCGAGCTAGTTAAATTACATACAATTTAATACTTAAAATATTTTATTAAATTTATCAGTGTCGTCTGTATACAGGGTCATATGCGTGTAATCTATATTATATATCTATATTATGTTTTCTATATTTTTTTTTTATTAGCATACAGCTAATACAATAAATAATAACAGAATTCGAAACTTTTTAATAATTTGACCTTTTTTATATTTTTATTGTTATTGTTAAATTTTACTGTTGTGATACAAAAGCCTAATGATTAATTTTTGTTAAACTACAAATATATTATACTTAAACCTAGTTAAAAAAATATTATTTAGTTTTATAATAAAATAATTTTGTAATGATCAATTTATTTATGGTTTTTACTTTTTTAAACTGAGTTGATGCAGTCGTTTCTATTTAAACAAATTAAATTTAACTGATTTTCTTTGTAGTTAACAATTTTGAAAAAAAAAATATGAAATGTAATCACATATTGTTACTGTTCACTGTAAATACCTCATTCTTACTCCTAAAAGGTGCCTACAAATTACAAAATCTTCCAACTTGTGATAATTTGATTGGTGGCCAACAGTTGATATTTGAGTGATGATGAATTTACCATCTACATAGATATGGATATTATTTTTGTACAAGATCTATTTTTAACAGTACCATCTTGTGTTAAATCAAATATTTGTGATTAATACATTTTTCAAATTCATTTATGGAGGAAATGTGTTTAAATTTGCGTTGGTTGAGTTGTACACAGTACATTAGTTGTCCATAACACATACATGACGTGTTGTACACCTCTTTACACTTCCAAGGAAAACAAATTCCAAATTTCGATGTTTTGTAAAAAAATTGATACTTAGCCGTATGAACAATATAATCTTAAGAACTCGTTTTTAAAAATTCAAAAATAGTACCTTTTGACTAACTAAAAAAAAGTTATTCCACTAATTAAGGTCTGCTGACAAATAAATAAATACATTTTTTTTGTTTTAAAAAATTACATAATGAATCCACACGAAATTACTGGTCAGTAGAAAATTAGTTTTGAGATTAAGCGATCAAAAAAACTGAGGTTTCTACTTTCTAAGGCGTTACCAGACATTATTTTGTTGCTTTAAAGTTGATTTTGCTTATGAATTATTATGGTACACATTTTTAAAGAGAATAATCGACTTGTTTGTACATGTTTATATTAATACCGAATTTATTATTTATTCTCCTGACTCACTATTCCATTACCATTATAATACATTTTATATTCGCGTGGCTTAGTTATAACCCAGCTGTATGCATTACTTATCAGCTAACCCGACCGCAAATAAACTTTTTTTTTTACATTATGTTTGCGAAAATTAACTTATTTTCTCCGTCGTTCCTATAATATATTATATAAATGTAGATATTTATATATTAGTTCTTTCCATTTGTTTATAAACGTGTCATTAAAAATGAATAATTTTTCATACGTTTACAATATTTTAAAAAAATGAACTTGAATAACCGTTCAATATTTTATACTCGTAAATATTTTATAATTAAAATCAAATTCAAATATTTTTCTTTTAATCGTTTTAAATGTACGTACATATTATCATATACTATAAATAAATGTAAATATTTATATTTTATATTGTTAAGATTAGATCTCGGGTCGTAATGGACCAATCTCCATTTTTTTTTTGCTCAAACTAAGGCTATGGTATAGGTATTATATGTATTCATATAGTATATATGTATGTTGTTCTCTACATTAAAATAAAATTGCAATTTTTATGAAGTTAAATAGCAAACACAAACCTATTACTTTTATTGGGAAATGACATTTTTATTTTAAGATTTGAATTATAAAAAAATTAAAATTGTTTAAGAGGTAGACGTGTTTATATTAGTACTTCAGCCTATGTAGGTAGACTTGAAGTTGTTATACTATAAAAAGTTGTTTAAAATAAAAATGTATTTAGGTATAGTTTTCTATACAGCAAAAATATGTGTTTTAGTCTTTAAATAGGGTCAAGTATTTTTATTATAAGCAAATGGGTATGGGACAAATGCAAGTACTATTTTTTTTCTAGAAAAAACCAACAATACTTGTATTTTATTTATTTGTATGATTCATTAACAACTTATAATTACATTTTTTAAAGGGTGAATTGTTTAATGAAAAAACCCGCTTTTACAATGTAGCTCCACTTGACCCAACGTTGGTTTTTGTTTTTGACAGCGAAGAAAATTAATAATACTTTACCTATAGGTATTTTATTAAACACAATTATCTTATTATGTGAATTATATAAGTATAGATACAATAGGAGATGTATAGCCCTACTTCCTAGTTATTCAACAGCACTGTTTTGTCCTTTCTAATGTTGGAAATCGGTACAATTTAAGTAATAAAATGTAGTTGTTTATTTTTAGTCTTGAACTTATAACTAAGGTAAACGTCCCTGAGGTCTTAACATCGTGTAGGTTGACTTTTATATGGTTTAGATGTGAGAGTCGTACAGAGAGAAAATGGGAAACTCAAAGAAAATTACACGCACAAGGACACCTTACCTTTCTCGTTACATTTCAAGCGTAAAGTTTAACAACTGTTAGAGATTAATAAAATCATTTCGATTAAGTTTTTCGCATATATTTATTTCTACCACCAAATCGCTTTCAAGTGAAATCAAAAAGTTTCCCTACTAGTGCTGTTAAAAACTTTGTATTTTATTACAATAACGGGTAAACAAATGTCTTCCCGTTATGATAGTAAATTTACGTATTATATTAATATATTGGCTATAGCACAAAGAAACATTTAAGTGCATTATAAATAAAAATGTACACATGAAAAACGTATTGGTCATAGTTGATAATTTGTACCCATACACAATTTTCTGAACTGAATATTTTATTAACATTTTTAGTGTGTTATTAAAATAACAGTAACGAACATATTTTTGAGTGTATAAAATATGACTCTGTATAAATTATAACTGACCATAAATTATCTAATAGGTACTGTTGTTGAATTTGTGTATAGCTACTATTTTGGTTGTAATTTACAATTAAAAGAGAAATGTATATAAAAGTTTTAGTATGCAAAGTTTTCTTCAACTTATTAAAATAGAAAGAAACATTTGGGTTTAAATAATTGTTGCACAAGAAGAAGAAAATCTAAATTTTGTCTTCTAGATTTGAATTGAAGTGGGAGAACCGAAAAAGGTGGTAATTATAAAACTTGGAACTTTAAATGCGTCAAATAATAGTTTACTATATAATAAGTAACAACTTGCCGGGGAACAATGCAGTATTGTTGTGAGCGAGGAGCCAAAATTTAACTATTTAAATAAGTTCGTTGGGATAAAATAAATATTATGTGAAGCTTGTTAACTAGAGGGAGAATGAAAAGTATAATTTTTCATCATGCAATTACTTGGAGAAAAACTTACCTGAGCATTAAGCAGTTAAAATGTTTAATGTGTAAAATTACAACCCTTTATTACAATTATAATATATTTATTTAGATGTACTGTAGAATCTATCATCTCTTTCAGCTTTAAGTTGTTTTAACCGAATTATGTATTTTGTATTTTTTTAACATTGTAACAATAGGTATATACATATCAACCTAAATATTATATAATTATAAAAACATGATACTTTAATCGGCATAATATGTATACAGTATAATGATATAGTTGGCAGAGAAAAACAAGTCAGGATTATAGTTTCAACAATAAAGGGGTTGTCTCATTAATATTAAGCACTGCCGTATCAGTTACTACAACACGTTTCTAAGGTAGTACCTCATTTATGTCTGCACTGATGGCCAGAATACTGCTGTGTTAATGTGATATTATGGATAAGTTGAAACTGCTAATGCAATACCAAAGCATCAAGGTCAATACGATAATTATAACGGTTACTATGATTATGTTGGAATGCATACATAAGCGTAATTATTCTAGTTGTTTAAAATTCGAGTAAACGTTAAATATATTACATTTATTAGCTAAATAATAGACTTTGAAATTAAATTCGTAGGTATTATAATTAGGTACCTATATTTGTTATAGTAAACGCTTATTATGTTGATGTTAATATTTTTATGTTTTAGGAGAAATAAAAAAACTTAAAAGATCTCGTTCAACTACTCGTTTGTACTTAGCAAAAATCAATATGTTAAGCAGAAAAAGTCACTCATTAAAATAACCTTAGGCGAAGGAAATATTAAAAAAAGCATTAGTAATTATGTTTGATTGAATTATTTTTCATCATCGTCACTTGCTCGTTTAATTTTGATCTTATTGGTAATTAACGGTCGAAAAGATATTGGTTTTATTATGCTTTTGTTTTTTTAAATTTTTTTGGGAGGGGGGTTTACAGACACAATATATTAAATTGTCTCGAATAATAAGAATAATCGACCACCAGTTAGGTTTGTACTTAAAAATAGTATTTAATCGATATTTTAGTCCATCAAAAATATTGATATTAAATATAATGGGCTAGCAATTTAAAGTCATGCTAATATATAAGCGCATCGTAAGAAAAAAGGAATAAAGTTTCAGTGCGATTGATTTTGAGTATGCAACATGTCAGAATCAGCTATTAGTATCGTAAAGTAGGACATCGGATAGCATTTGGAAAAGGAGATTCGATAAAATATTACAAAAATCTTGTCGTACTCTTCTCCTATTCTCATATAAAAAAAAAAAACACTGATATTTTCACGATTTTATAGTTTTACACATAATATATTTTTGTATGCAAATATATTCTACAACAGAACATAAAAAACCGGAATATAACAATGGTGACGGACATTTTTTTTTTTACTGTTATTCGTTTTTACAATAGTAACTAAAACATAAATTTAATAATCGGTGTACATTCTTTGTGTGTTTTTTAATGTTGAAGACACAGGTGTGGTAAGTGACATTTTTTCGGTAAAATAATTTATTTGTCCAGTGAGTCAATGAACTTGGGTCGTTAGAAACACCGTACTGTGTTAGTGTAACGTTAATATAATATTTTCCATCGATTTCTGGTAGATGTAGTTTTTTGATTGTAAAAAGTATCTACGGATATTATCATTAACCGTCGAATAACGTTTCTGGAAAGTTCCAATTATAAAATGGCTTACCACACCTGTGCTCAACGCTTTCGGAGAACTTTGTTCGGTAAGTTTTACTTAGACAATCAAGACGAAATTAGTAATTACCAATAAACATTAATGTAATTTTACGCTGAAAGAAGTCGCCCGATCGACGTTTTTAATTTTAGTTTCTCCTGATCGCTAATAGCTATGACGGAACACATTAATTTTGAAAACATGACGTTAATAGTTGTGTGTTAAAAATCAGGCCTTTAATATTCGTCACCATACAGCTGCAGTATCGCATTGATTGTTGTCCACGTTTTGGTAAAAATTAAGACTTTCTACACATGTAGATGCTCTCTCAAATACTTCAATCTCTGTTCTTTTTACACCGCTTATCTATCACTATTTCTCCATCTACCCCACCGTCTTATTACTTTTATTTTATAAATTCTAACGATTCCTCTCTAATGTAGTCGCTCTTGGATGTTCTACTATTTCGCTTTTCTCTACCGTCTTTCATATTCTTATCTTTCCCGATGGAAGCGTAACTTAAAACTCTTTTTTGCTCATTTCTAATTCATCGAACCTAGTCCTTCTGCACATTTCAGCGTAAACGCCAAACACTAGTTCCTTATTATACTATCACTAATAATACCACAACAGTAATAATATGTATTTTTATAGCAAGTGTAACTTGACGTTTATAAAATTAACTATAGCCTTACATTACGGTAGTAGGTAACTTGAACGCTGCCTATGAAATTGACATATTTTATATAACAATAAATTATAACGATTTTTCTCTCTAAAAAATGTATTTTGACATATTTTCAATAAAAATTCAATAAACGTAAATATTTACCGAATAAATAGGAATTGACAATATTCGATTAGGTGTTAATATATATTTTCATCTATGATTTAAAATTATATATTTTATTTTTACAGGAAGACCATCGTCGTAAGTAGATTTTTGAACACTATAGAGCGTTAACGAGTCAATAAATAACATTTTCAATCGAATCGTTTTCCTATATAGTGAAAACAAAAATTAACAATACAAATGTAATAAATACGATTGGCGTACACCGTGATGAATGTTATGCGATTTTACTGTCATTAAAATTGAGTAACGTCATTAAATTTAACTCGACTTAATATTATATAGTATTAATAATTTTACTCGACACAATACATGTATATATATTTTTTTATTGCAAACGAATCAGACATAACTCATGGCCGTGGAGTCGCTCTCTTTAGGACAGCACGATTGACAACAAGGGAACACGCATTGCAACGTGTTTTTGAATGCTTCCCTGAAGTCTCGGTTGAAGTATGCGTATATTAGCGGGTTCAGTGATGAATTGAAATAGCCGATCCAAAACAATACCGTCACCAGCGTTTCCGGAAAGGTGCACGGTTCCCCGCATAACGTGGATATCACATACCTGTAGTAAAATAAACACAATTACTATAAATTACAAAATATATAATGTCTAAAACATACCAATGATAAAAAGAAAAAATCTATATAGAGATACATTTATAAAGAAGTAACAATAATATAATTTGAACATTTTGATTACACTGATTTTCGTTTTTTTTACTCCGTTTACTTATAAGACGTCGATCTGAAATTGAACATATTGTGTTACAATTTAATATTATATTTTGCAGTACGCCTTGAAAGTCTTGAACAAACTTTCCCATCGACAGAAACTAACTTCAGAAAGTTCGGGTAAGGTTTAAAAGAATCTTTTACAAGTTTGCATTGCAACTATTTGATTATCATTTATGAGCGGAAGAAAAAGTTTCATATCATTTCTATTGACAAAATCAAACGTCTAACCCACCACTTTTATTTGGTTAGGTATGATCAACAAAGCTTGTCTACGATAATGTTATCTTAAAAACATGTAAACAACGAAAATACAAAATAAGAGATAATATCTTAAAATATTCCAATAAAATTTGCCGGCAATAACAAAACTGAATAATACTAATAGTAATAAATAATAATACAACTTTACAAGTCAATCAAATTATTTTCGGGGTCGAAAAGTTATACAAATTTAAATAATCATTATAGAAATTAAGTTGAATATACTTATTATTATTTATTCTTAAATATTATTTATAGATTACATTTTTAGTTTTATTAACTGGTTTCATGGCATATAAAGTGTAAATATGAATCATTAACCATTTCTTCCACTTAAAAAATAATTACCATAATTTAAATGTGGTTATAATATACATAACGTTCGTTATTTATAAGTATCTTGACTATACAATATAATTTTTTTTTTAAAAACCTATTAGCACACTTGTGTAGATACTCTCAAGAATTTAAAAAAACTATTACTTGAGTGTTATACGTTTTGTAATTCATTCAAATATATGCATACAACAGTAATAAATATTGAAAATGAAACATGTGCCAGATAACTATTATTTAGAATCCCGAGCAACCTTGTTCCACAAAAATTTCCTAGTAATTTTCACGCTATAAACAGAGAATATTGTTTTTTTTTTATTGATATTGTGTACTGAAGCAATAAAGAAAATAAATGTTGACCATAAATAATATTTATGCGAAGTAAAGACAGAAACACTTATGGCTAAGTATGAAAACGTAAGCGTTGTAATCCAATGGATATCCAGAATTATTGCAGTTTTTAAAGATAGGTAGGATCGTTCATACTGTTCGTGTCAAAGTAAGACTTCACCTTCTCAAATTTTAAGTATTCTTGTCGGATATTCTCTAAATGCCACGTGAGACATTCGGCGTGTCGAGTGCTCTTAAGAATCGTTTAAACAATGCATTTAACGCTCACTCGAGTGCTGTCGAAGGAAATTACTCGAAAAATGTTCACATATTATGTCATCAGTTCTATATATAAATAGCACGACATCCATCCCATTGGTTATTTAATGAATCCGGTAACACCATTAGCACAGCTGTGTGAGCAGTAGACGCTGTGGTTTGACAGAGACGAGGGCTTACAATTGTAACATACAGTCGCTTCCCATAGTAAAATTTAAATGGATGAAATTAAAAAGAGTGGTTTTGTGAAAAAAAAAGCAATAAAGTTGTCGCCTAAAATATTTTTAATTTCATTTTTAATTCAAAGAATTTTATTATTTTTTGTTGACGTAGATGTAGATTTTTGACCATAGACTGGTCTATTAAAAAGGATTTCTAATGGAGGCTATGGAGCTGTATATGATTTGAATTCAAATTACACATGGCAACCGTCGTTCCGAGCGTTCGAAACGTGATTTATGAACAACATTTAGTTTTGCACCGGACGAACGCGATGTACTTGTGGCGGATTTCAACTCAAAATTCGGTCGGGTTTCTGTTAAAAAAAAAAACACCATGTTCGACCACATTTGCTTGGCCATTTCATTTGTCAGATGCTCTCTATACTGTACAAGTTATATATTCTGTACAATACTCCATAGTACACAAGTTTTAGCATTACCCGCATTGTAGTATATAACGTGGGTGTGAGTGGAGGTCACCGACCGTTTTGTGTACACGCTATTCCCGGCGGCCCAGTATCTATATGAACATAATATATATATGTATAAAATGTATACAATATACAAAAATATAAGGGCAAACAGCGTTCATAGTCGCCGAATCTCTGCGGACAAGACTGCGGGCCACTCGCCAAATTTCTAGTTGAGACGCTTTGACGTACCGAGTCGAGAAAGGTCGGATAAGGCGACCGCAATAAATTGGGAGGCTCGGTGCTTGTATTCGATCTTGCTATTCGGTTTGACCCACGCCAAATCTACTGGAATGAGCGCCGATCAAAAAAAAAAAATGGCATTATAGAGTTCAACGATATCGGAGAAAATAATATTATTATTTTTAACGATTTTCTAACGGGAACCGAGTAAGAAAGAAAAACAATTACTGTTAGGAAAATCTAAAAAAATTATTAATCTTTCACAATATTCTTCTATAACCGTATTTGTTATTATTATATACTGTATCTGTATGCGAGGAAACAAACATAGAAAACGAATCAAGAAAACACGCAGCGTTGCGTGCAACAATAATACTAGTGGGTGAATTATTTATTTTCTCGAGCCGAGGCCGTCTGGAAAAATAAACGGTTAACCCGTTCTTTTCCAATCGGCGCTGTAATCCCATCCCGACAAATCAAAAAACCCCGTCTTGGCCCAAAGACAGAGACGCGGAAGAGGCAAAAGCCTCCGTGCCAACCGTTTGTATCCGGATTAACACCGTTGTGTGCGCTTTTAAATTCAATTACGGTTCGGCATATTGACGTTGTGTTAACTCGCGTAGAATATAATTAAGTTTGTCTTTTCCAGTTTGCACTACGGCTGCTCGTTTTGTATGTGAGTGTATGTGTGTCTTATTTCGAAGTGCGCGGCCAAAAGAAGGTGTTAAAAAGATCGTTAGGCGTCGATCTGGTGTTGTGTTTTTTAGGATATGTTCTGCACGCGAACATACGCGATAGAGTTTACGCACATAATATTTGTTTGACACTTAGGCGTAATAAATGGAAATTAATGTGAATTTCCACTGTAGTCTGTACACGGTAAGACGACGTGGTGGGCTCCAAGCACTTCACTTTAATGTTGTTGCGAATAAAAATGGCGCACTGTACACATACATTTTACATAATACAGTAAAACGTATAAATATTATATTATTTATTCATACTGCTCATAAAGCATTTTGTTCGCTACGTTAAATTCGTTTATTGGTGCTGATTTTCTGTGCATTATTTTTACGAACACGACGCAAAACCAACATTTTAGTGTGATCAATTTTGACGTATAAAATTCGTAAACTCGTTCGGTAAACTTGTGGTAACTTGATTATTGTCTTAATCGAAATATTTTAATCGATATTACTTAATTTCCTCGCGCAAGACATATTGTTTTTAAAAAAATAACGTACATGTATATAAATATATACATGAGGGTGGTGTCTTAATTGGATAATGTTTTAAATTTTGATTTTGTCAGATTCCAATAAGATTTTAATAAAACATTTTTTAAAAAAATCAATATTAACAGAAAAATTACAATTCGAACTCCATATTCCAATAAGCACTACTCTAATATAAGTTAGGCGTTCGTTATATACATAAATTAAGTTTTTTGATTTTTAAAAATAAAAAATAATAATGAAACTTGTGTATAACATAAATCTAGAAAACATAATTAATTAAAACTCTTAAGGTCTTGTGTATTGGTATGCACAACTTTTGCCGTCGTTTACAGGACTTTTTATTTAATGACAATAAATCAATTTTACTTAAAACTTTAGTAAAACATTGCAGTAGAGTAGTATACTTTAAATAACTGGTAGCGAGTTTGGGTAAAATAATCATTTGGTATTAACAAGTTTCTGGAAACAACCGTTGGTTAGTTGTCAAAAACTCGGCGATAGCTATTGTAAATTGGTAAATTTTTACTAAACTTACTGTATCGTCAAAGCGAGCACATCAATTAGGCGGTCGAAAAATATATTTTTAATCCCTTAAAACACAGACAGTTAATAACTCATTCGGTTGGCTTTATTTGAGGAAAGCGGCTAAGTACTATATTTATTTGTAAAAGGGAAAAAACAACTCTGTGCTTGAAGTTTCGCAAAAAAGAAAAGTTAATCTTACAGCAAGTGTCTTCAAAGGATTAAACCGCACTTAAAAATTAACTGTCACCACGCGGAAGGAGTAATATAAAGCTCTTGGTGCTCTCAACTAGTTGCTTGTCACGTCTCTCGATTAATACATTAAATAAAGAGTCCGTTAATAGGGATACAATTTGTTTTTTTGTAATCCATGAAAATATTGTCAAGTATTCGTAATCCAAAATGCCACTCCCAGAGCTTGCATAGAAAGTTTAACCGTGTAATGAATGCCCACTAATTTAGTTCAAGTAAATTGTTATAAAGTTATCGTGATTTAAAGGGCACAGTCCTTAAAATAATTAATATTTGCCACACGCCTGCATAAATAATCAAGGCCTAGCGAGTCGTTACGACGACAAAATATAATGATTATTATAATAATATTGTAATAAATTATTTCCATACATATGGCTATTTAATTTTAGGCAACAAATCACTACAAACTGCACGTCTGTGCAAAATAAAAATAAAAAAGCTATTTGCTGTTGTGCGCAGTGCGGCTGTAACCACAATAAAGCGCATTTAAATTCAAATTTAACTGCTTATTGCAACGGACGACAGTAGAAAAACAACTTAACGTTTATAAGTGCACAATTTAAATTTCGACTACGAAGAATATTAAACGTATTTATTGTTATTCCAACGAAAATTTAGTGTTTAGACGATGGAGAGGGATTTAAACTAATTATGACCGTAGTTGACTTAAATAATAATTTAAATAGAAAACTCCCGAGTTAACCACGTATAACAATTAAGACAATTTAATTA